ATAGTCGGATACAAAAACCAATTTAGATCACTTATTCAGAAGAATAAAAGGTTTATATTGATGAATATATGCATATTTATACAGTCAGTCAAATTAAGTCAATGGTATTGTAAGTAGGAGATCTGTGGGATTTTTAGACTGAATTGCATAAATATACAGAAGGAATATAATTACATTTTTTATGAGAAATTTTCCTTTAAAATGAATAACTTCAAACAAAATTATTACGACTGTTAAAACTCAATAAAATTTGCAAAGTATGTTTTTGTAACCCTTTTATGAATTTTGCTCACAGCAAAATAATGATTTGACAACACATCACGTAGTAATTCGTTTCATTATCAATATTCAGTTAGCGTAAAATTAACTTTTAACTGAAAGTTTAGGAAAACAAATGGACATTTAAATGCCATGTTACCGCTTTTCTAGATAAAATCAAAACAAAATACCCATTGTACTTAAAATTAATTAAACACATATCATCTAAAATCAGAAGTATGTAAGTATTTATATACCCGTTGATAAATTAAATCAACAGTCAGTCGAACTAGGCGAGCTGTACATAAGTAACAGAGATCTCTCGGATTGCTAGATTAATCAAAGTACTGAAGTACATCGGATGACCGCAAGTTCTTGTGGATGGTCACAAGCACTTGTCTCAGAAAAAAAAATCACATCTCTATATCTGAAAGTGAAGTTAATGTACAGAGATATATTTTTTCTGAGACAAGTTCGTGCGTGGATGATGAAAAAATGACAGGGAATTCAACATCACCGTAATAACTATTATATTGTAGTGATACAAATCAGTAACCTTTGGTTTGTTGTTATATATTATATCAATATTTGTATATAACAGTTACATGTATATATAATTTTCATCCATTTGTATATCATTCTATTATACTATTCTAATAATAGTGCAGTGCAAGTGCATGGTGGACACTCTTCTGTAATAATTCGATTTTTCTAATAGATTGGATTTGAGTAGGCATTCATATTTTCCCGCAAAACGTTCTTGAGATATTCTTCCGCATGCGTTAACACAGTTTTCCTGTACGTGTGCATATATATAAATGATGTTTTATTTATATATATATATATATTTATAACGTCAAAACATTTTCATATTATTAATTTATGTTCTAAAAAAATATTTTTATGAGTATTCATTGAAGAAATGAATTTATAACAAGCGATAAGGAATGTTATTTTGCACTCGATAATGTCCGCGTATTTTTAGATCGATAATCAGTCAAAAACGAAAGTTACGTATACTAAGTAGAAATCTCTGTGGCAACAATACATCGGAATGCCCTCACGGTCATCGCGATGTAAAAAGGATAAACGAAACTTATATAGTTCCAGATACATCGTATAAAGCAAATTAAATGTCTGGCAAATAAAAGAAACAAAATCCTTCTTTTAACAAATTAAAAAAAATATATATCATGATTTATTGTGATCATTGTAGATCCAAAACGTGTTTTCTTTAATGATTCGCACAAGGTCATGTGTCGCCTTTTGTGTGCATTTTTTCTTTACCTTAGTGCACAGTACTATTTAGGAAGTTGAACCATTTTGAAAGACAAATTTCTTTTTTCTGATTTTTTTCGCCTGTTGATAATATAACGGATATTTTCACAGATTTTGCAGTTGAATTGTATTTAATTGTACCAGAACTTCAACCTTTTTATTCTAAAAATCTGAGAGATCTCGGACAGATTCCTACTTACGTACCTCTCACCTAATTCGACTGACTGTTGATGCCAATGTCGTTCCCATCTTCAAAAAGGGGGACAGAAGCCAGGCATCAAATTATAGACCTGTATCACCCTTCGCTATCTTGTGCAAACTCCTAAACACATTAGCTGAAGTAACATCATAAAGCATTTAGAGAAACACTCAATACTGAATGATGCCCAACACGAATTCAGAAAAAAGAGGTCTTGTGAGTTCCAGCCCGTACTCACCATCCAGGATCTTATGAGGAATGTCGACAATACCCTTAGGGACATAAAGACCTTATTCTTCTAGATTTCTCCAAGGCCTTTGACAAGATACCACACAAAAGGTTCTATACAAGTTACACCATTATGGTATAAGGGTTACAACTCTGATCTGGCTAAGCGACTTCTTGGAACACAGGCAGTAACGTGTCTTACTTGAAGGACATTCATCTGAGTCAGCACCTGTACAGTCCGGGGTACCACAAGGAAGTGTATTGGACCCGATCATATTTTGCTATTCATCAATGATCTACAAGAGTATGTATCAACATCAAAAGTCAGGCTATTTGTAGATGATTGTGTTTTGTACCATTAAAATAAAAAAAAACAGACGATACTGACAAGCTCCAAAAAGATCTGGACGGTTTACAAAAGTTGGACGCAACATCACGAAAAAGGCTAACCAAACCATAGCATTCCTCCAACGAAATATCAGAAGCAGCCCATGCCAAACTAAAGCTCTATGTAACAGACACTTATAAGACCATTAATGGAATACTCATGTACCATCTGGGATCCTGCAACTAAGAATAACATGTACAAACTAGAATCAGTTCAAATACGATCCGCACGATTCGTCCTTAATGAGTACAACAGAAGTAGTAGCGTATCATCAATGCTACAAACTCTCAACTGGGAGACATTGCATGAGAAAAGAGAAAAGTGCAAAGTCATCATGATGTACAGAATCGTAAACAACCTTGTGGCTATATCTCATACCATTAACATCCACCTCTCGGCGACATCATGACAGATTCCTGGTACCAATTTACAGGACTGATGTTTACAGGCATTCAATCTTCCCTGAAACAATTCGAATCTGGAATGGACTATCAGCGTTCCTAGTAACCTGCACAACCCCGGAGTCGTTTTTATTGAAGCACAGCTGCACTGTATATATATGCACGTTTTCCACAATGTTTTCCTCGGATCGAGTATGTAAATAGTCAACGGTACGAAAATACTCCCTTGAGAGGCCTTTACATTACCGGAAGAAGAAGAACTTCACGATCCGATTGCAATGATAGACTACGGTCTATCACAATCATTCTTCTCGATATACCGAATGACATCTTGATAAATAACTCAAAATATCAATTAGATGTAGGTTTAGGAAGGAGCTTTGGGTCTTTCTGGTGTGAACTTTCTACCTTCCAAAAACCATTGCAATAGGCTTGATACTTGTATATGAATATTAAAATGTTCATTAAATGTGTGGAGAGATTTCAGGGGCGGATCCAGCCATTTATAAAAGGGGGGTTCCTAACCCAGGATAAAGGGAGCGGGGTCCAACTATATGTCCCCATTCAAATGCATTGATCGTCAAAAAAAGGAGGGGTTCCAACCCCCCCCCCCCCCCTGGATCCGCCACTGGATTTATAGAAAGAGCCATGATAGTCTACAATAACTTGTCAGCGGCAGACAACAACTGTCGTCACTCTAAACAAAAATATCTTACATCTATTTTGAAAGAAATCAATGGTTGAGCGAACTACACTGATCAGTTTTAACCACTCTTAAAATTACATTTTCAAGGTTTGGAGGATGAACGTGTATAAAAACGTTTGTCATACAACTGTTTCTCTTTTTCACAATTCATAGCGTGATGATATATTTAAGACCTTTTATTAAAGTTATTAATTTGAACGCGTAATCATAACTTTAATTTTTCTGTCGCACCGATGATCATCGGTTACTGACGCATTACTGGATTTTTCGTCTGACAGAGAATACAGAAACTACTTAAGGATGTTCGCTCCTCTGTTTCAAAATAACAAGCTTTTTAAAAGACTGTTATAAATTGATAGTATATAAATAAAGGAACTAAAAAAGCAGAAAAAAAATGTATGGTCTGTGCTCGTTTTCGATATTATGCCATTGAAAATTTGGCGGGAAATGATTCTCTCTAGACTTTTCATACATTTAACATTGTCATCCTTTTTCTTTTAAAACATATGAAAAAATAACAAGGATTTTATAGGATTTTCAAATATTGCTTTTCAAACTATATGTAATAAAATTGTAAACAGAAAAGAAGGGGTAAGCGGGCACAATTTTTTAATGGCACTACATGGATAAAACCAGAGGATTCAGAATATCTGGCAAAAATTCAAAAACAAGAGGAGCAAACATCCTTAATTTACAGTGTAAATTGTGAAGTATTTCAAGTAGGGTCCGCGTTAATCTATTTCTTTTTTTATATTTGTGTATATTTTGCGGACTGTTTGCATATAATTCTTATGGTTGTCTTCCTTCTTTGATTAACTTTGATTATTGGTTTTGATAAAAACGAATCAACACCTTTTTTATGCCCGTGCGTCGAAAAGTCGGGGGCCGGTGGATATTACTTTGCCACTGCCCGTCCGTCCGCTCTCTCGTACAGTTTTCAAGGTAGAGCTTTTATCTTATGTTACTAAGGGTCGTTCATTTTATCAAGATTTCTGTTTTTGTTAAATTTTTCACAAATAAAAAGACTGTGAACTGTGTCATTTCATTGTGAAGTTATACATGCTGGGGAACATGGTTTGTCATGCTCATTCCCCCTAATGTTTTCAAGCTAGAGCTTTCTTATTCTGCAGATTCTTTGTTGATGCATTTACTAATGATATTTATATACCATCCGGGTAGGCTAGGTCTCTGCCTTTCAACATACTGGTGAATTTAATTTTTCTTCAAATTTTCCGCAACTGACAGAATGTTGAACTTCCTGTGTTTTTTGTCCTGGAACTTCCAATGTTTTATATCCTCGTGACAAATAAGATGAAGTTCAACAATAAGCAAAGATACGCTAAAACATATACAAGACATTAAATGGCAAACAACCCCAAGAGGTCCAAGTTAATTGCCACGAGTATTTTTATAATCGTCAAGTTTCAATTCTATCAAACTGAAATCAGCTTCGGGTTATTTTTATTGTTTTATTATCAAGACACGATTTGTTACAATTGAAAAACAATGTTTATTCATGAACAGTTTAAACGAGTATATAAAGAAGTTTATTCCTCGGTTGTCCATACCACACTAGTTAAAGATGATAAAGTTACTTGCTATTTGTATGTTACTGGGACTAACGGTCGGTAAGTGATTAAAGATTCTTTCGGTTTGAATATTTTAACGAGTATAGCATTGCTATAGAGAATTATTTTAATCAGTGAAACTCTTATTTGTTTGGAATGCTTAAAGTCATATGAAACAAGTTTCTTCAAATTATAATGTTAAGAAAAAATTTGAACCAATGCATGTATATAAACTAAGTTTTCTATGCACATTTTTTTCACATTTATTACGAATCCATAACGTATAATCGACAAAGCATTTTTCATTCAGTGAAAAGTTTTCTTGCGTATTAATTAACTTTCATGTGTTGTTCCCGAAGTATACAAAACGTGACCTTAAGAAACAATCACCACAGAATCATAGAGCATATGAAAAATAAATGAGACTTTACAGACATGTAATAGAGCGATATTTCTTTTTATGTTTTCCATGCGTTTCTATTTGTTTAATAAATTTTGTCATAACAGTTGTTCAAATATTTGGTGAATTAATTTGATTCTTTCAGAATCAGTTATCACTATCTAACTTCAACGTCTTTCATCACGATTTTTTCCTCACACTTGCGCTGTGCGGTTGCCGAAGTACTACTGCGAGATCTCTTGGTTAAGGTCACTGCGTACGGAAAAAAAACTTTCGGGAAATTAGAGCACGGGAAGACAATAAATGAATAGCAGCACATTTCTAAAGATTTTTTTTTATAATGAAAGTACACGTACATGTGTGTTATATTTAAACTTAGCCATTCAATTATATAAAACCTTTTCAATTTTTTGTTAATTTGAACTGGGACTATCATACTTATATTCCAGATTTAAAATATCATATGACAATGTTTAGTCTTCAAAATTAAAATCAGTATCTGTTGTCATGCAGACATCTAAGGATAGCTCTCTTAATATTCAGTGGAGGAAACACGAGTCTTCCTGAATGAAGGCATCATATATTTATATTCATGTCAATATTAGTAAAGCACACCTAAATCTTCGATCATTGGCACACTTTACAAGTGTACATGTATGAGGGTCACATTATGTATAATTTTGACTCACATGTTTTTCTTGCAAAATAATTGTTAATAAAACGCATCCATAAATTTGAAATTCAACCAGGTCACAAAGGTGCATTCATTATAAATACACCACTTAAAATTGAGATAATTTGTGCACGTCGTACAAATAAATGCATCTCTCAAATCGTACTTTCTTGTTTATGACCTGTTGTTACTAATTGAAATGCTTTTTTGTTATTTAATGTTATTCAAGGTTATATCTGGTCTATATACCAGCTTTGATAAGTGTTTGGTATTACCATAAATTTTCACTTCTTCGTAATATGAACATCAAAATTATTTATTTTGTAAAAATATTTCCTTTCTCTATTTGAATTGTACACGTATACCTAACAACAAAATTATTTTTATTATCCTGTGTTTAAAGTAATTGCAAATGGCTGATATTTTTGTTCAAGTAAATTCTTAAATTGTTTAACATTTCACAGCGGTATAACATGTTACTTTAATTATTCTTCCCTTAGTTTATTTATTTTGTATTTGCATTGTATCATAGATCAAATTTATTTGTTCAGTGTATGTTCACTGGTGTTAATATGTCTTTTGATTGAGTTAAGCCATTTCAATTGATATTTTATAGTGTGTTTTTCTATGTTGTGATGTAACATTATTGTTTCAGATAAAGGTGAAGGTTTGGTACCATTAAAACGTTTAAACCCGCTAAAATTGTTTGCACCTGTCCTAAGTCAGGAATCTGATTTCAGTAGTTGTCGTTTGTTGATGTGGTTCATAAGTGTTTCTCGTTTCTCGTTTTTTATATAGATTAGACCGTTGGTTTTCCCGTTTGAATGGTTTTACGCTAGTAATTTTTGGGGCCCTTTATAGCTTGCTTCTTCGGTGTGAGCCAAGGCTCCGTGTTTAAGACCGTACTTTGACCAATAATGGTTTACTTTTATAAATTTTGACTTGGATGGAGAGTTGTCTCATTGGCACTCATACCACATCTTCTTATATTTATATATATGCAGCATAATGCATTCTTTCATCTGATAGTTTCTTAATCAATACTTGCAACTCTTTATTACATAGGCATAGTATTTCAGTTATTTTTTCAACAGAAATTAAGCTGGGAATAAATTTATTTTGCTTTTTGGTAAAGAGTAATTTATTGTCAAGCCCTCAGTCATGAAGCCGATTATGAAGCCAGGGTATCTCACAATTTACGGATCGTTTTTAAATTATAATGATTTTTGCATAACTTCTAAAGTTATAATTAATTTTGTAAAATGAAAATATAATTTCGATGACTATAGTACATGATTCTGTAGTTTTAATTTTGCAAAAACGTTCAGTATTAAAAGAATTATTTTTTCGGACTTCGTCCTCTTTCACAGTTGACACCTGACTCATATTACTTAAATACATTTTTTTTAAATATGAGAGATTGTTTGTATATTTTGTCTTACCATTTTGTAGAATTATGCTTTCATGATTCGAGCATGTCTTGAGTTATCGGTATTTGGATAATTTCAGGATACCGGGTTAGAACAAGATTCCTACAGAATCGACTAAGGCCACGATATGGACCCATGTCGATCGTCGGTGGAGCCGAAGCATACGAAAATGCTGTTCCTTGGCAGGTAATCACATAATGTATTACATCTAAAACCAACAATGTTTTATAAAATATTAAAATATTATTGATGTTTTAATCTGAGTTTTCGCAAATAAAACAAGTAAAACTATAACTTATTTTGCTGATACAAGACATTATAGTCAGAGATTTCTCGGAGCACGATTAACTGCTTTGGAATAGCCAAACCAATAAAAATGAATTTTGGATAACAAGTAACTTGACGTACACACATTTCCGGTTTGTTTTAGAATCAGAACATTTGGAGTGACTTCATGCTCAACACGCCCATCGGTTATTTTACTTTCTTTACTCTATGCTTAAAGTTTTGCAGGTATCAGTTAGGCTGTAATTATATTATCCAAATACAATTAGTGTTTAGTGACTAGGGTTGTTCAATGAAATTTACTCAGTGTCGACCGTTTTTAATATTGATAAATTAAATGTTAAATGTCTGATGACTGGGGATTAGACCAACAGCTTCTTTCCCTCTAAGGTAGAGCGTCACCACTAGACAAATAAGGCGGCTTTCCATGTCAAAATAATATTTTTACTTTGTTTGCTTTGATAAATGTCATACTTCGAACAAATAGATGTGTTTAATGACCTTGTCACAAGGAGATACCCTGAAGGTCTATCATACAGATTATTCCATGTATTGAAATGGTTTCTTTGCCATACGCTTGAACTTTCGGCTTCGATATCAGCGACACTTCTCATAATTATTGCCAGGATTTCAAGCATGTGTCATAGGTTTGAAACAAGTTCGTTCCTTGAAGGTTTAGGTCACATATAATAAATGTATATAAGAAAATATGTCTTACCAAGTCTTTCTACTGTCAAAAGATATCCAATTATAGTTATTTTTGTTATTTATTATCAGTTATCCACAGGTTCTAACATTAAGGCTAGTGAATACTGGTATTGCAACCATTTAAAAAACCACATCAAATATCAAATGTGGGTCCTTTATGAGATCAATTTAAGCTTAGTGGTATTTATGCTTTATGTGTCTGTCCCAAGTCAGGAGCCTGTAGTTCAGTAGTTGTCGTTGGTTCACGTCTGTCATATTTGTTTTTCGTAAATTTTTGTTTTGTTATAAATTAGGCTGTTAGTTTTCTCAATTGAATTGTTTCATATTTTTTATGTCGGGCCTTTTATAGCCGACTATACAGTATGGGTTTATCTCATTGTTGAAGGCCGTACAGTTGCCAAAAATTGCTTACATCAACTTTATTTGAACATTAGAGGATAGTTTTCTCATTGGCAATCATACCACATCTCGTTATTTTTATATTCATGTGTAAAATTAAATAAGAAACTATTATAAAAACACTAAAATATACAACCAAAATGTATCTTCTTTTATTTTAGGTTTCTATCAAAAGTAACGATTACAACCACTTTTGTGGTGGCTCGTTGGTTAAAGGAAAAAGTGGTATAGCCGTAGTTACTGCAGCGCATTGTGTCAGTGATGGGTAGGTCGTGTCGCCTTTTACTACTGAATATCAACGAGTCCTATAAACGCTTTCCTTCTCAAGGACATGTTTTTCTCGTAGTGTTTATAACTTCTGACTGTACACTAAACCCATTAGATGTGTACTGGTTGATTATAAAGTCTGGGAGAACATGATTTATTTATTAGTTGTCATTGACTTTGAACTAGTTTTCATTAACTGCGAGTACTCTTATATCGGAACTTTTTAATTGTATCATTTTAACTTTATGTTAGTTGTTTTGTACTTCGTGACAATGAAATGAGTCGAGCCAACTCCAACTGATTTTTACAGTGTGTTCTTATGCCACGTTAGGGGAGGGTTGAGTTTAACCCCGCCACATCCTGTATGTGCCTGTCCAAAGTCAGGAGCCTGTAATTTAGTAGATGTAGTTGATTGCTGTTTGCTTTATCGGTTTTTCGATTATTGTTTTGTCATTAATCTGGCCGTAGGTTCTTTTCGTTTGAATTGCTGCACATTTTGTCATGTCGGGTCCTTTTATATCTGAGTATTCGGTACCAGTTTTGCTTATTGTTGAAGGCCGTATGTAGTGACCTATAAATACATTAATTCACGTCATTTGGACTCATAATAGATTGGCCTTTAAACCACAGCTCCTCATTGTATACTAGTGAATGAATTTACTGACATATATCTCACATCTCCCTTTGAATTCGTATTTTGAGCTTGTTAAATAGATATTTTAAGAATGAGAATCTTGCTGCATATCGATAAAAATTCAATCTGGAAAAATATATAAATACAGAATTTGCTCTTTATGTGTATTTTGTTATGCCCCCGCCGCAGCGGAGGGGGCATTAAGTGTTACCCCTGTCTGTCTGCACGTCCTTCCGTCCGTACGTATGTACGTCCATACGTTCCAAATTTGGTATCCGTTCTCTATTTTTAGTTTGCCTCAACCAAATGTTATGAAACTTATACACAATGCTTATTTCCACAAATCACAGATCAAGTTTGAATTTGGGTGGCGCCCCTTTACAAATGGAAAAATTGCTGAATTAATCGTTTCCGTTCTCCTACTTAAATTTGCCTCAACAAATTGTTATGAAATTTATATACAATGCTTATTACCACAAAACTCAGATCAAGTTCGAATTTGGGTGGCGTCCCTTTATAAGGCTGTATGCAACCGGGGGCACCATCTGTGTCCCATTGACACATTCTCCATTTATTTACAAAATTTCTTTTTGATTGTCCTAAAAAATATTTCATCTTCTAGATTTAATCGCATTAAATCTAACCATAACTATATTTCCGAATATTTCCTTTAAATTAGCCTAATATACTTAATTTTTAAATTTTCAAGAGTCGAAAAATATTACATTTACCTCAGACAAATCGTTTATCATGCGTTTTATTTTACAGAACTACGGCTTCAAGTATTCAGGTTGTAGTTGGGAGACATTCCTTATCAACGCAGTCAGCATCTGAGAAAACATATCAAGTCAGCGAGATAAAAAATCATCCCGATTACAATTCAGACAACATGAACAACGATATAGCGGTATTGTTTGTTGAAGGTGAAATATCAGAAACAGAGGAAGTCGCATCGATTCAACTTCCGAATGAACAATCTAGTGTCTTTAATGGTCAGGAATGCTTAATTTCAGGATGGGGCGCTCTGAAAGAAGGTATAAGTATAATTTTTTTTAGCATTTAATGCGATGTTTCATATTTGTCTTGAAAAAGTATATTTGTCAGTCAAAACTGTTAGGAACAAGAGACGACTAAGGTTGGAAATACTGATTATTTTGAAAACCAGAAATGGTGTCTATGAGTGTGAGTGTTCCAAGATCAAACAAATCTCACATTTAATTAATTGTAAGACAAATTCAGTGCATACATATAAATAAATTATGGTATCAACATACAAGAGTGGACACACATCAGTGTGGATAGTATGTTTGGCAAAAAGAATTTTTTTTCAATAGGGTTCTATGTTAATCTGTGTTGCACAGTGACAGCCAACCTGTACTAAACACTAAAAATTAGTATTAATATATCATAGACTGGCAGAGCAAAATCGATTCTATCAACTGGTAACATGTTATCAGACGAGACTAGATAATAAAATATGATTAAGTCTGATAATTTACTTGTGTTCAAATATTACTTAAATGCTATACATGGTTTTGCAGGAGAAGAGGGGCCTGACAAATTGCAAGAGGCTTGGGTTGATCTATTCTCTAATGCTGTCTGTTATGAAAAATACAATGACAAATTCAACAAGAATTTAATGATTTGTGGGGGTAAAGAAGAAGGAGGTATTGATTCTTGTCAGGTAAAACCAGTTTCTTATAGTGAATTTCTTTACAGCCTAAACAATAAGTTCGTTCATATTTTCCTTGCAAGAGGTCATTATATTTCTAATTCATTTGTAACTCATTTACAAAAAAGACAATCTGTTGAAACTACAATTTTTGCCCCAAATGAACAGATTTCAAACTATAAGGTTTCGATGTTAAGAGAACCGCAAAATATTGGCCAAAACCCTAAATTGGCATATATTTTAGAACATCAAAATTAAGATATGTACCAAGTTTCTTGTTGATGTAAAACATAATGCTCTCTTTAATACTATTTCAAAATATAATGCGTGATAAGGTACAATAAGGTCCATATTTGGCATATTTCAGGGAAATTTAAAAGTTTCCGTTCATTATCTTAATTCATGGCAAAATAATGGCGAAACTTGTATATTTTGTTAGAGCCCCACTGATGAGTCATATGAAGACGAAACGAGCGTATGACGTACTTAATCATACGCCTAGTGATGAGTGTTGTAAACTTTTTTAATTTTTTTTTGTTGTTTATAAACTTTTGAGTATATTTTGGATATTAAAAGTACGGTATGTGCACACCGAAGAAACTTTATATTTGGTGAGATTGTGTAAATAGATATAAAAAATTCTTCACTTAAACCATTTTGTTATTTCTTGGCTGTGCACGTTTACCACAATAAGTTAATGTGGATGACTTATTTTATAAACTAATTTTTCTTCATTTCCGTGAAATAGATGAATACAATGACGAAGTTATGATTATAATATTGATAGGGGCAAATATTTCAACCAATAAAGCAATATCTTGAAATTTTCACTGAAATTGTGCTAACATTTTAAAATAAAAATGATTTCTCGCAAAATACCAGATTGCTATTTCTTTGCGAAAAGCTGCAAAAACAGATAACATTATAGTTAACTGAAAGCAACTTCCAAAATATATGGGGGTGGGGGTGGGGATGGAATTAGAATAGTATATATGTTCTATTAATTCAGCAAATCAAATATTATGTTGAAGGCAATGTTGAACTGTTATTGGTTAATTTTTTTTATGAATTTAATATTCTTCTTTTGAGTATTACATATATTCAAAATTGTTACCATGGTTTCATCTGTTTAACAGGGTGATTCAGGAGGACCATTTGCATGCTTCGACGATAACTGGAATCCAATCCTTGTTGGTGAGTAAATTTGGGATACCCAAGTTGTTGTTATTGTTGCTTCGCTTGAGAGTAAAATACATATATGTATCCTTGGTATGAAAACAACATTGTCATCTTGTTACAATTTGTGCTTTGAACTTTATCAGGGTTTGGGGGGTGGGGGTGGAGGTATACTTCATAAAAATAATATAGTCGGGTGAAAACTGAGGAAGAAGATACCAATATGGGAATTAGAAATTCTAAGTCAAAGAAGAGCAGACAAGAAAAAAGAAACATTAGTCCACAATAAACTACAGAGAAAACTAAAGATTTAGTAACACGAACTACCGCGTGTTTTGGGGGAAGCTAATAAAATGTTTTTATGTTTTATATGACCATATAATTTTATTATTATTGTCCATTTTTTAAGGCGTTACAAGCTGGGGAGAGGGCTGTGCCAGAGCTGACAAACCAGGGGTGTATGCAGATGTGTTCAAGCTTAGAAGTTGGCTGAATAATGTGCTAGGTCTGTAATCCGTACGTTTGGGGCTGCAACGAAGACAAAATAATCTCATGAAGAAATGCAATTGATTCTGTAATCGTTTCTTATATAAATAAAAAAAAATATGACTTGTTATAATTTTTTTTTCTATAAATGCAAATATTTTCTTAGTGACATGTTGGTTAACAGGAGATACGCTGATTTATCGATGAATATCAAACAGGTTTTTGCATCTTTTAAGATTAAGTGTCGAGCAAGTGGTGAATCTACCATATAAGTGATTCGTCACTAGCTTTCATTTCGAATAGATTTTTAAAAAAGCATTCACTTCTTATCTTTACAGATAACAGAAATCAAATAAATCTCTGATCAATTTCGTATCTGAAAAAAGACTCTAAATTCTATACTTCATCAGACAGCTTTCTGAAAGTAGTATTAATCCATGTTAAATCAAATGTACACACTACATGGTCATTAAGTATTCGTCATTTGTGATTTTTCACAAATATTTCATATAAAACTACGTTTTTAAAACAAAATATTGTGAGGTCAATTCTTGTTGAATTAGAGCCAACTTGGTATAAATAGAAGCAAAATTATCACAGGTTTATTTGTGTATTTGGTTATGTTTTTGTTATGGAGCGTTTTCATTTTCTAATGATATACACACAGGTATTAAATTAATTTTTATTCACAAATTTTCTTTATAGCTCAACCAAATCAAATTGTAAAAAAATATTTTACCTGTTCATATCAAGAAAAACAAAAACAATGACCAAATGCACAAAATTACTTAAGACGATTCTGGGTCTTTCAACATCTGGTTTGTAAAAATCCAACAATAGTTGCCTTCAAAATATTATTTTTTTAAATGTGATTTTATATAAAATATATAACAAAAAAGTAGGAGACGAATACTGTGGTTCAAAGTAGAAAGCTCAAGAAAAATGTATGCCGTCTCGTCAGGTTTTCAATTTTAAAAGGAGAACAATAATTACAAAAACAACTGATAGTACAACAGACAATACCAAACACCAATATCCGACTCCTCCGAAAATATAGACGTAGAAAAAAACAGCAACGAAAATCCATGGTCCAGTAATATACATTGCATGGCACAAAATGTGGTGAGGTTCCAAAATTCTCTTTGGAATTTGGAGTTAGTCTCTGTTGAATTTATTCATTTTGTGTTTCACATTTTTCAAAAGTCATAAAAACTGTACACAACTTAACAGTATTACAACTTCATATACTTTCTTTGAGATTGTAACAATTTTATGACTTGTATTTGAACAAGGAACTAATTATAGGAGTCATGTATGTTAATAACATAAATCAGTTCAATACTACAAGTGTCTGTATAATATATCAAACGGTATAAATCGCCCTAGTTCTAGACATGTGAATTCATTTAACAGAGACAGTCAAAGAGCTGACATAATATCCAAAATTCCTTAATGGCAAAGACAATTTCTGATATAACAGAAGAAAACCACTCACGAGGTTCCTGACTTGAGACATACATGAAAATGCTAGTTTTATATCGGTTCCCGTACTTTGAAGAAAATTTCACAAAGCAACATTATATACAGTACACGAACGATCGTGTGCACATGCCTAGAATAAAACTGCCTTGAAATTAAATTAATAAAAAGAAACATTTTAGTCTCGTTTTCAACGATACATTCGCAGGACGGAAATGATTAACAACAGCAGTATAGTTACAACCGTTTATCGGCATGTTTATTATAAGCAAAACAAATGGTTGTAATAAAAACAATTTCTAAATTTGTTAGATTTATAAATAATATTGCCATAAAAAGGTTGTTATTGGATACAGTATTTCATTACAATACTGGCAGGTAACAAAACTGCTAGTGCAATTAAAGGAGAAGGTATGATGTGGCGTCTTTTTCTGCCCCCTTTCCCCCCTTGAATTTGAAAAGTAGTACAAATCTATCAAATATTAAACATCTTTCAGATGTTCATAATAAACTCATCATAGATGCCAGCATTAAAATTTTGTACGCCAGATGCTCGATTCGTCTACAAAAGACACATCAGTGACGCTCGAATAAAAACGTTCAAAAGGCTAAATAAAAAAAAGTACAGTGTTGAAGAGCATTGAGGACACAAACGCCCGAATGGTTTTGTGAAATAAAGCTAAGGTAATCTATTCCTGGGGTAGAAATCCTTAGTATTTCGGAAAATTCGAAGTTCTGTAAAGAATTAAGTTATAATTATGACCATATCAATGATAATTTATGTCAACACCGAAGTGCAGACTACTGTGTTGGTGATACCCTCGGAAAGTAAATTCCACCAGCAGTGGCATCGAACCAGGGGTTGTAAATAAACTCCTCATAGAAACCAGGAGGACTAAAATTGTATACCTCAGATGCGTGTTACGTCTACAAAAGACAAATCAGTGATGCTCGAATAAATAAAGTTAAAAAGGACACATAAAGTACGATGTTGAAGAGCATTGAGGACCCAAAAGTCCGAAAGGTTTTGTCAAGTACAACTGAGGTAATCTTTTCCTGGGGTAGAAAATCCTTAGTATTTCGAAAATTCAATTTTCTGTTTCCAACAGTTAATTTATAATTATGACCATATCAATAATTCATGTCAACACATAAGTGCAGACTACTGGGATAGTGAAACCGTCGGGGAGGAAACCTTCACCAGCAGTGGCATCGACGCAGTGGTTGTAAATAAACACATCATAGATACCAGAGGATTAAAATTTATACGCCAGATGCGCGTTACGTCGACAAAAGAGACATCAGTGATGCTCAATTAAAAAAGTTAAAAAGGACTAATAAAGTACGGCGTTGAAGAGCATTGAGGACCCAAAAGTCCGAAAGGTTTTGCCAAATACAGCTAAGGTAATCTATTCCTGGGGTAGAAAATCCTTAGTATTTCGAAAAATTCAAAGTTCTATAAACAATTAATTCATAATTATGACCATATCAATGATATATTCATGTCAACACCGAAGTGCAGACTTCTAAGCTGGTGATACTCTCGGAAAGGAAATTACACCAGTAGTGGCATCGACCCAGTAAATAAACTCACCAAAGATGCACCTCAGATGGGCGTTACGTCTACAAATGACAAATCAGTGATGCTTGAATAAATAAAGTTAATAAAAGAACAGAGTTCCAATGTTCCCCGCGTTGCACATATTTTATATTTCCAAGGGGCATAACTCTTTTAAAAAAAGACGATCGTCCACCATCATAGAACTTGTCCGAGATATTGCTGATATTAACCTCTAGTATAAGTTTTATAAAAATCTGGCAAGAATTGTACCCGTGAGAGCGCTAACGAGGCCATTTTCCATAAATTTAATATGTCCAAGGGTCATAACTCTTTTAAAAAAAATCGATCGTCCACCATTATAAAACTTGTCCGAGATATTGCTGATATTAACCTATAGTATAAGTGGACGGACGTCCGGTATTACCATGTCCCCCGCAACGCGTTACGCGGGGGACAAAAAGGACAATAAAGTACGATGTTGAAGAGCATTGAGGACCCAAAAGTCTGAAAGGTTTTGCCAAATACAGTTGAGGTAATCTATTCCTGGGGTAGAAAATCCCTAGTATTTCCAAAAATTCCAAGTTATGTTTAGAACAGTAAATTTATGATTATGACCATATCAATGATAATTCATGTCAACACAGAAGTGCAGACTACTGGGCTGGTGATACCGTCGGGGAGGAAACCTTCACCAGCAGTGGCATCGACGCAGTGGTTGTAAATAAACACATCATAGATACCAGAGGATTAAAATTTGTATGCCAGATGCGCGTTACGTCTACAAAAGACACATCAGTGATGCTCGAATAAAAAAGTGAAAAAGGATAAATAAAGTACGACGTTGACGAGAATGAGGACCCAAAAGTCCGAAAGGTTTTTACAGCTAAGGTAATCTTTTCCTGGGGTAGAACATCCTTAGTATTTCGAAAAATTCAAAGTTCTGTTTAAAACAGTAAATATATAATTATGACCATATCAATGATCATTCATTTCAACACCGAAGTGCAGACTACAGTGTTGTTGATACCCTCGGGGAGGAAACCTCCACCAGCAGTGGTTGTAAAACTCATCATAGATATCAGGATTAAAATTGTGTACGCTTGACGCTCCAATTTAAAAAGTTAAAAAGGACAAATAAAGTACGACGTTGAAGAGCATTCAGGACCCAAAAGTCCGAAAGGTTTTGCCAAATACATCTAAGGTAATCTATTCCTGGGGTAGAAAATCCTTAGTATTTCGAAAAAATCAAAGTTCTGTAAGCAGTTAATTTATAATTATGACCATATTAATCATTATTCATGTCAACAGAGAAGTGTTGGCTACTGGGCTGGTATATATAAGACATTATTCTGTCGGACATCGGTATTTATATTTTTGAATTCTAATCTTACATATTGGCATCTTGGGCTTTAAAAGTCATATAAATATATATATACATATTTACTTTGCGTGAAATTGCAATTTTTAGTCAAAAGCGTACATTTCGACATGTTTATGATGTTTTAGTGACATCACAAGTGACCTTTCTGCCCTAAAGTATCCATATAATAATACAAGTTCATTTATGAATAAAATGAACATAAGTTTGAAAGGCTTGAATACATTAATTATTTTTGCAATTGTCATCATACTTCTTTTTGAACTGTACAATGAATGTATAATGAAGTTAGTCGTGGTCATTGTTTCAGTCATGTTTGCGATACTCATTCATTGGACTTACCAGCACCTTAATCGCTTCGTTCTACTCGTATCAGAACTTTTTGGTGTTATAGCAATGTCACAATGTGAGAGAAGAACTTTTCATGATTACTTCCTTATAGTATAACCAAACATAAACATGTCTAAGGGATCGACGCGAACGTTAACAGTGATCAGAACTAGTACGAAAGACAGATGATCTGGTTTAATGCGTATTGATGGATACAATGTAAAAATTTGTTAGTACGCTTATTTGATGTTCCCACTCAGCAAAAACGTTCAGTGTGACTTACTGCTGAAAATTTACGTCAATATCCAGAAACCCGACAATTTACACATATCTGAATTAAATTATTGCACCTAAGGTGTGCCTCTACTGATTTTCCCCCAGCATG